CCAGGCCCACATGACTTGGGACTTGTGGGCATGAAAGGCATCAAGAAGTATCTATATACATATGCAATGCTTCCAATTTGACTGGGAGAGACATCAAATTAAAGAACCCATGGCCCATGACTCAAGCCCAAGGCAGTGACCCAAGGAAGCCGGCGTCGTTTCATTGGAGGTCCATGCACCCCAGCACGGGTATCCTGCACCAACCAATCAACCTAAAGCGGTTTTCCAAGTGAAACTTGCAGCAGTCCTCCATGTGTGGAAGGCACTATGGAATGAAGTGAGCAACCTGGCCCAAGTCAATGCAAATAGAGTGCACGCCAACACTACAGAGCAATGGGCAATGACAGAAGCTGCAGACCATCAAAGCTACAGGGCAATGTGCATAGGCGTGTTTCTGCGCTGCGCCGCCAATGTCAATGCATCTGGTGGCATTTGCAACTACACAGTTAATTTGTCTACCACTGTCAGGTGACTTAGGCGCCAGCATCAGCTAGCGTGAATTTGTTGCCTTTGAGCCTCCATCCTCTTTGCCTCAAGAGATCTAAGCAGAAGCTATTCATTGAGATGGGCGTGAGGCCATGTGAGCTGCAGTTCCGCTTGTGCAGGGCATGCATCGCCTTGACGCTGTCCAACTCAGCTGCAAATTGAGACTGAACAGACGCCTGAGCTGTCCATGTCTCAATAGGCTTCCTCACTATTGCGCCTTTCTTTTTGATCAGCCTTGTTTCTGCCTTCACTTTACGCAATTTGGCCATGTGCTGAGTCACTTTGATTGGTTCAGGCTCGGATCCACTCAGCATTTCCCAGTCATCATCGCTATCATCACCACCGATGGTAGCAACCCATGCAGGGAGAGAGACCATTGCCACTCAATGAATCGCGCAGAGGTCTCAAGAGCAAGAATACTTGTATGTGACACATGACATAGGAAGCCTTAGGTTGAAAATCTCACTACTCTCAAGATTGCACTCTGCTACATGACATAGGACTCATTAGGTTGAAAGCCTGACTGGTCTGAAGATTGCACTCCACTACATGACATAGGAATATTTAAGTTGAACACATCACCAGTCTCATCATCGTTCTCTTCTACATGACATAGGGCTTTTGAGGTTGACACCTTCATTGGCCTCCCAAAACTTCAGAACTTGTGTCATAGGATATTGGTCTGCAGTTCTGTTCTATGCTGGATGTTTTCATCCAGGACTAAGGAGAGATTGAACTGTTTGTTTTCTTGAGCCTCAGAGGACACTGGAAGCATATCAATTCGTTGCGCAACTATATAAGTTCAATTGGCACAAGTAAGCAAGCCAGACTGACTGGCACCCACTTTGCCCATAAGCAACCGGTCTGAAACCAAAAATGGCTGCACAAGACTTAGGCCTGGCCCCTGGTATTTTCCCTCAGCTGTTCCTATCACACCAGCACATGCAGCAAACAGTTCTAGCGCCAACTCCTAGGTCATCGGTGTTGAACTGCCATATTTCAATTTCCAGCAGCTTCCTTGAATACCTCATATTTCTATGAATTTGATGGTTGTGGCCTGATGACATAGGCCTTAAGAGGAAAGGCCAATGTTGGACCAATCCTGATGACATAGGCTTTTGGAATTGGCCTATATGTCCGACAAGTCCTAAGTTACTAGTCAGTAGTATATATATATTATATATATATACACTCTATTTTCTCCTGAACCTGTAGACCTCGTAATTTCATTCTTTTCCTCTGACTCGTCGGGTTTGCTTGCACTAAAACCCGCCCAAACCGGGTGCGCTCACTTCTTCCTCCCGTCGCCTCCCTGCGCCCTCACCGAGGAGCCGCTAAACATGATGTCCGCTGGCCGATCATCCAGCAGCTCCTTGGGGAAACGCACCGGAGCCTTCGGCACCGGCCGCGCCACCACACCGGCCGCGGAATGCTCAGCTCCCGCCGAGCACACGGTGGCGTCACGTTCGCCTTCCGCCTGGGAGACGGCTCTTTCGATGCAACGGGAGATGCAGCAAGGTTTTGGTGCGTCCATGTGCGACCTTTCCTAGCCCACCATTGATTTGACAATATTTAGATATGTTTAGCATGACTGAATAGCCTTTAATATCCTGTACTGGTGTAGCTTTGTCAAGGCTTTGTACGAAACCAGGTCTAGTCTAGTCTTGGAAGGCTAGGGAAAGGTTGGGCCCTGCTTGGCTGGAAACTGGGTGAGAGAAACAGGAACAACCGCACACTCGGTCACTTCCAGTTCTTCCAAGAAAGCTCCGCCCTCCCAGGGGTGTTCCAATAAGCCGCAACAAAGAACGCACCCCCAAAACACGCACCGCCCTCCACGTTTTGTTGATACGTGGAACACGCCTGCCATGCGTGCGCCAGTGCCAGCGCCCAAAGCATCGCTCGTCTCCGAGTAGCCATGATTCGTCACTCGAACCAACGGCGAAAGATCCAAGGGACCACTGAAGGTGTTTGGCATCCAGTCCGGGCAGGGCAGGGCAGGACTGCTGGGGTGGGCACGTTGACATATAGTGGAGACGTTGTGGGGGGGAGGGTCTAGAGGCGGGCGGCTTCCGCCACTTCCAGCACCAAGTGAATGAGACAAGGACCAGGTGGAGAAAACTGCAGTGACCGGACTTTGACTCCACTAATGTGCAAGAAAACTCTGGGCATATAGAGTAAGTGGAGTTATGTGGAGTTGTTCTGTTTTCCAGCTCGGTTGAAGGCCTGGGTCAAGGCCCCCACTGGAAAATCCGGGAAAACGGGGGAGAGCTGGTGAGGGTGTGCAGAACCCACATGCATCACACCAATCCGCTGGTTCGCTTCTGGTCGAACCGATCAAAACCCCCACAGGAGAGGAAGCCCGTTGCTGGGGGCAATCACCGGATCTTCACAGACTGCCTCGCTGTGGTGCATCGAGTCCCTCTGTTTCGCGGACCGACGCCGGTAGCAAATCGACACCGCCACGGCCGCCGACCCATGGGGCTCCACTTCACCCACCCTTGAAGCCTTCAGGCCGACCAGACACATGAAACCTCGGACCAGGCATCCGTCCACATGCCAGAGATGCCGCATGGGGGGTGGCGGCGCTCCCATCGATTGGAACCTGATCGGGTTGGACCGATTGCGCGATCCGGCTGGTCGCGAGCGGATGGGTGATGACAGGACTGGCAGAACGATGTCCGGGACTGGCATATTGACTCAAAAGGGGCCAATGGTGGTCAATGTAATGTAAGTATTCCATACATGGTGAGTCTGGGAATGGGAAGAATCATGGTGTCACATGGGGATGACCTGAACTTGATGTTTCTGAGTGTCTTCTCCTGGTGAAGGACAGTCTTGGGAAATACCGAGGAATCACGAGAAATCCAAACCACCAACTTTATAAGCAGCAACTAAAGCAACTGACCTGAGCATATCAATGTCGATATTATTCCGGATCTTCTTCTAGATGCCAGAAAATCCCTCGCCTAGTTGCTCGGGTGCATCTACGAAGGACTATGATGCCCACCTCTTGTTAATTACATTGTCACGAAAACGATTTCGGTTTATCACTCTTCCAACACAGTTGACAATTCAATTCCTAGGGACATTGTACTGAGGATCTGAAATTATGTATACTTCTGTATATGGATCAGTCCACACGCGTGCTCCGTACATACGGGTTAGAAAAACAAATCAGGAAGTAAGAACATGTAAGAACAAACCCTATAGGCCTATAGGTAGTTATTTGGTGTGAACCAATTTCTAGGTTTTTGGCACATCAGTCAAGACCTTTCCATCACAAGAATCGCTGTTCGTCTTCACTCCTTAACAAGAAACTATTAGGAACGGTCCTTGAAGCTACTAGTAACAAGAAGCTATTAGTAGGTCTTTGAAGCTTCTTAGTAGCATTTAGTAGCATTCTTACTACTAGTAACAAGAAGCTACTAGGAACTAGAGTAACTAGAAGCTTCTTTGGGAATCGTTTCACTGGGAATCGTTTCACCGGAGCTCCGGGCATCGCTTTGTTCGTCCAGTCCCTGAGTCCCTCACTGGTGAATCTGAAGTTCCGGCGCTTCCTACCCAAAGCGACGGAGCGGTTTCTCTTGCAAAGTCACCATTTCAAGCCAAGAGCCACCTGCACCTCAAGCAAGCTATGTCAATCGGAGTTTCCTAAATTGATCTGCCGTGATCAGCTATCTGGCTCTGTTAGTACCCCAAATGGCCACCTGATGATTGAGAAGTATGATGAGAGACCAATTTTTAGTACAAACAAGCGGCTGGGAACCCTATCTCCACTGTAGCCGCAGCCGGGTTTTTGTGGTGGAATATGCTGACTCCATGGCGAGGAAATGTACTTCCTTGTTGGGAGAAGACCACAACTTGCTTTTTCAGGAAACCAGGAAGTCGTGCCCCCCCAAACAAGGGATACTGTTGGGTTGAAGTTATCCACCCACTGCTTCTGGATACCTTTAGTTGCAACGCTTCGTCCAGTAACCAAAGGGGACACCACACAGGTGCCTTCACATATCACGGTGACAGGGGCTGATTGACCTGGCGTTGACACTCCACCTGGATAATAGATTCTTTTTCGATCCGAATCGACCAAACTCTGGTGTAGTTCAACCTGTCTCCACCAAACTCCAAAAGACTCAGTTCGTCTGCCTCTCATCCCTGAAATGTGCAAACATGTCTCAAATCTTCCAACTTGGACAAGACTAACATGAAAACAACATGAACAAATACACCAAAGGATACCAAATGCACCCAACGACACTTCACATGAAAACACTGCACGTTTGGATACCAAAACATGGTTACCAAACACTTCACATAGTTTTACACTTGTACGCTTTTACGCCGTTTGGTGGCGTGTTTACGCCGTTACGCTACTAACCTGAAGACTGAAGAACTACACCAAATGTTGAAAGCCATCATCAGCACCTGCCTTGGGCTTCAGGAAGATGTGCTCCGTCTGGTTACCCATACAGTCCACACAGTCCGAGGGGATCTCCCACCTGGCGATCATGCGTTGCGCGTTGGACGGAAGATCAGGCCAAGGAAGAGGTCCCATTTGCATCTCTCTCCGATGTAGTCTTTCTTAGAAGTGTCTGAAGAATGCCGTCGAAATATGTTGAAATGGCAAAAGGTCAAAATTGATGTTTTTCTTGTTTCTCGGTGGCGAACGCCTCCAGTGGCAAATGATTTGCTCGCAATATATATGCTCAGTTTGCCTGGTGCCTAGTCCCGCTATGTCCCCCTCATGGTGCAAAGGAGCTATTGCTGCTATTTCTCACAAAGCACATCGGGTTAGAGAGATCCCGTCGTGAAAGAAGTAGTGATTCCGAAACAACTTGGACCATTGTTGCTTCTATATCTGATCCTCCTATATGATCCAGAATCAAACGTAAAGATTGGATGGAACAAACACAACATGTGAACCACACAATATGAGTCAAACCTGGTGGCCTTGCTGGGAGACCATCTCTCTGAAAACTCGGTGGCCTTGCCGTTGAACGAGAAACGACCTTTCTATTTCTACTAGTATGCTTGCTATAGTAATAGTAATGGCCTCCACCCCTACTAGCGATGGCCTCCAACCTACGACTTTTCTGCTCAACGTGTCCGCGATGGCCTCGCGTCCGCGCGCGCAAGGTCGACGCCGCGGCGGTCGCCGCCTCTCCGAGAAGTTCACAGCTGAGGCGTTGTCGGCCGAGCCATTCCAAGGCGCTGTGCCGTTGCCCGACATGGTGGGCGGCTCCTCCCCTGCCGCATGCGTCGCTGAAGGAAAGAGTCCACATGAAAAGTGTGGTGGTCGTTTCAACAATTGGCCGCTCAACTTGAAGACGTGAAAATTGGTTCCACAGTCGTGGTTCAAGGCCTATAGTATCCTCAAGCAATATTGAGGCACAAGTATAGTATACTGAAAAGAATATATATACTAAAAACCAATCTTCTCATCATTATATCGAATTGAAGATGACTATAGGGACAACACTAAAAAAGCAGCCATGGAGAGCTTTGTGCCAAAGGTTAGTCATGGTTGGTCAACTTTGCAGGAACCTCATCGGTATGCTACAAGGCTATTGATTGGGGATTCCGATGCAAAGACCGAGGCACGCCAAGACCTCACGGCTGTCCGAAGGACTCGTCCTGCACACGACGCATCCGACGCCTGGGTGCATCTTCACTCTTCGGAACCCGCGACCGGACGAGGAAACTCAATGCCGTCGCCTGGAGAAGCATAGTAGCTGAAGTTCGAGACGTTGCGCGTCCGGTTGAGATCTCAGTGGTTCGAAATGCAGGATGGACTTTCACGGGATGGACGGGATCTCAGAGTCATGAGTGTCCCCCCAAAAAGGCTTTTAACCACATACCGAACCGCGTACCCAGGGCTACGACGTCTGCACTTCCCGAAGCTCGCGGTGGAGAAGATGAAGCTCGGAGACTAGAGGAGCCAGCAGGACCTGTGTGAAGGTTTTTCCTGTGAGGGGTCTGATAGTTGTTCATCCATCATAGATTCCATGGCCACTGTATGGGCCATACCCATCATAGCAGAGACTGAAGCTGTCCCTAAGTCGGTTCCCTTTCCACAAAAAGTCCCACAAAGCAACACATCCGCTCTCCTTGATCTCCTTGATCTCTAAATATACCCCCCAAGTAGCCACGGCGGCAAATTCACTTCCAAGCACTAACCACCCATCCAGTCACTTCCAGCCACCGTGAACCCAGCTCTCAAACCGTAGCAATCGAACTTCGAACTTCGCGTCTCCCGGAGAATTGGGACTTTCAGGCACCCCGACAGGCATTGTAAATGACCTCCGAGTAGTGCGTCTCTGCCAATCGCCGTGCCTCGTTGATGGCCTGGGTGGGCTCAGGTTGTTCAAGCTCGAAAGGTCGATGCTTTAAGCAGAACATGTGAACCATCGGCCGATGCTTTAACAACCCTGCTTTGCATCCCATGACTTCCACCAAAACATGCGTAGCAGTTTCCAGTGAAGCAACACCCAGTTTGTGGACGCGGTACAGTACCTGATCAGCTCTGACTGTGTCACCTGTGATCTAGCTGACTATCTCACCTTTGATGGATGTTTCATTTGACGAGATTGCTTTTGGCCAAGACCTTCCAAGCACAACACCCAAGCCAACTTGCAAATACTTCGGTTCCAACAGCCCAGCTGTACACCCAACAGTCCGCCCGAGCACCGGTCGCCGCTCTTTCGCTGAGTTGTGCCGGCACTGCTCGGTCGATTGAAGTCCACATCAACGACGCCCGTGAGCAGGTACCGTGGGCCTCAGCGCGCGAAGAACGCGCGCGTTCGCCACGGTGTGCGAAAAACACGCGTGGGCCACGGGCCATAGAAATGGCCACAATGGGCCACTGGCGGCGGCTGAAATCAGCATGCTGTTTCACAGCCTGGTCAAACCTTTCACGCTGTAACCGTCTTGCTGCGGACGGAGTCATGCAGCCTTCGTCCTGGTGGCCG